CTATCATCAAAGACAAAGATGTAAATCAGACAAACAGCACATGCACATGCAGAAAGAAGAAAACTTAAGAAAAAACCTATCGTTAACATCATTAGCAACATAAGATATTGTATCCATGGTGGTGGGCAGGGAGTAAATGCCACTAGAAAACAACATCCAGAGAGGAACAAAGAGCACTTGAGAATTAAGAATATGGCAGAAATGAAAAATTTGATTAAAATATTAAAAAATAAGAGTGAAGAATAATTCCAGAAATTAGAAAACAATAAATAAATGAAGTATCTAGAATGGATGAGAAAATTATAAAGGATTGAGCCCAAATGACACAACACCCAAATAATAGGCATTACAGAAAGAAAGGAGAGAGAAAAGCATCAAAGAAATAATTTTATAAAATGCCTTAGAATTGATGGATATGTTTCCACACTGGTGGATCTATAACCTATGGATGAAAACAGATGCAGACCGAGGCATGTATTCTGAGATCTGAGGACGCTGGACAAAGAGGCTATCCCACAGCATTCGGGGGGCAGGGTGGGGGTGTTGGGTTGAGGGAAAGTTTTCATACAATGTGACAGAATAATACAAACAATAATCAAATAATCAGAATGGCATCAAGCTTTTCAACAGCAACTCTGGAAGCTAGAAAGTAATGGAAGAGTACCTCTAAAATTCTAAAGAAATAGGATTTCCAGCCTAGAATTTTTTAGCAAAGCTGTCAATCAAATACGAAGGTAGAAAAAGACCTTTTCAGCTCTACAAAGTCTCAAAACACTCTCCTCCCAGGCACTCTTCTCAGGAAGCTACTGGAGAATGTGCACCACTGAAAGTGTGAGGAAGGAAAGCCAGAGAGAGGGAGAGCTGGATTCAGGGTGCAAGGGCTCCGAGGATGTAAGAGAGAAGTGAGGAAAAGAACCTGTGTAGCAGGAAGGGAGATCCCGAGATCTGTGTAGCAAGCCTGGAAAGCAGCCAGTCCAGACAGGTCGGAAAGCTCTGATAAATTTCTGATAAGATTTAACATATTAAGAGAAGATTTACACCAAGGTCAGGGGTTCAGATCCTCTTACTAACCAGCCACCTGAAAAAAAAAAAAAACAGAGAAGATTTACATAACCTGGGAAATCTGAGGAGTTGAATTAATGATAAACACAAGAAGACTAAGCAAACAAAAACATCAAGAAAACAGATAACCACAGGGAACGTATATTCTGCAGAAAAGGAAAGAAAGTATGGAATGCTGTACAGCTTGTCCGTGGATACTGTTCACATAGTCACACTAAAGTAAATACCGAATATTGATCTGAAAAAAATATAACAAAACTGTATTGGAAGACTGGGAGAGACAAAAAAGGTACATGACCTTGGTCCAATTCCTGTACTGGCCAGCCGCCAAAAAAAAAAGGTTTTTGGATATGGTGGTGGCATAGAGGTGGAAGAGACCTAACTCGTTATCTTTCATAACAGAAAGTAGATAATGACTAACACTGAAAAGTAATTTAGTAGTAATAGTCGTACGTTATTAAGCAATATGTATGAAAACAGCCAAAGAGTTGAAAGTAGTTGCATATGGAGAAGCAGGAAACTGAAGACTGCTCTGGCAGAACTTTTGACTCTAAATTGTGTGCATGTATAATTTTGATACAAATGAAAAGTAAATTTTATTTGTGAGGATTAAGACTGTACACCTATGGGCAGCATGAAAAATACCAACTATTGTAATATTATTCAAATGGATACTTGTGATTTGGAATTAAATTTCCAGTGACAACATCTTGTTGGGCTGCAAAAGAGCCGTAGACAGATATGACAAGGATGAGTTCTGAACAAGCTTGTAGATGACTCAAACGATGCACTCTAGTGACAGCAAAAACATGGACACTGGAGATTCAGGTGAAGAGTCTGAATTAATATTATTTCCTGAAATATGAGAAGGAAAAAGGTAAATTTAATATATATTAAATTTAATATATTATTAATTTTAAATTAATTTAATTATATTAATTTATTATATATTAATTATTTATAATAATGAAATGATTATATTAATTTAATATTAAAATTAACTTAATATTTAATATATGCTTAGATTTAATATATATTAAATTTAAAATACTTTAAATTTAATATATTAAATATAAAATCCTGTTTTGTATGATATATATACTTTAAATTTAATATATATCATACAAAACAGGATTTTGCATCACTGTTCTCTTTTGTGAGGCTTTCAGTTCTGTGTGTTTGACCAGGTAAGTTGAGATTTCAAGGAGCTGTAATTGTTTCGTATTTCTTTTTCAGAATTTAATAACCTTTTGTTGCCTTTTTTTCTGAGCCACACTCTTGATCCATTTATTATTACCTGCTCCCACATCTTGACGTGTTTGTATGGCCTTCGCAGTTGCAGCCACTTCACAGAAGAGAGAAAGCTATTTCGTACCTAATGACCTCATGAGATTTAACCAGCCCTGTCTCTCCTTTCTATCCACCTTCTCTGGGGTTACATAGACAATGCCCAGAGCAGAGGTGCCTGGCTTATAGTTGGTGTTCAGTAAATATGTGTTAAGTAAATGAATGATTCTATGGAGAACTTCAATCAAATTCAAAGCACTGAGTGAGTGCTAGTGTATTCTCATTCAAAGGGTCATGAACTCACAAGCCCTCTGTGAGTGAGATCAGCCCAATGAGGCCAGAGGCAAGTGGGAGACCTGGGGAAGGCTCCATGTATATGGGGGAGTGGGAGTTGGATAATAATAGCAACAGTAAACATCTGTGTAATGCATTCTATACGCACTGCTCCATTCACTTTATTTGTAATAACTCACATAATCCTTCCAACAAAAACCCTGAGGTAGGCCCTGTTGTCATTCACCATCAACATTTTGCACTAAGGACCATGTGCTCAAGCACACATAGCTAGTAAGTGGGAGAACCAGGAGTTTGAACCCAAGCATTCTGGCTAAGTCCCAGCACTTAATCACTGCACCATATTGCCCCTCTAATTTTTTTTAAAGAAGCCATACGTCCGTATGAAACCTACTAATTTTTAAAAACACTACAGGCCAAGCAAAGTGCACTTGGTTTGTAACTTTTTCTCAGGCAGCAAATAATTAAAACAAGGTGGTAGGCGTGCACACCGTGACTGAATCCCACAGCAGGCATGGCCACATTTAACTGCATGTTAGTGAGTCAGCAGTCATACAGATTTGGACCCCCTTCTTGGTTCAATTTCATCACCCCATGGACCCTGATGAGTCTTTGAAAGCTCAGATGTGGACTTGGTTAAAGGAGAAAGAAAAGAATCTAGTAAACATGAGAATGGGCACCATACATGCCTATAGACCATGAGAAGTTTCAAACTTCTCTGCAAAGCTGTGTGGGTTTGTTCAAGAAATCACAGCTCTATTTTTCACTCTTGTAAAGATGACAGAGGTAGGTTTGATGTATTTTGTTGCCTCTACCATTATTTTGTTTCACAGACCATTTCAGTACAACATGGGTTATTTAAAAAGCCAAAGGAAACATTGAGTGCTGTGTGAGGGTTACTTGGCAAAATATTGTATAAATTCATTGACAGATGCTAGAAAAGTTACTTGCTGGTAATAACAAAGTTTTCATTTTTGTGCCCTATGCCCAGAGCAATTTGCAGTTTTGAAATATGACATGAGTAAAAATGCTAGATGTTTATATTCTCTAGAAGAACTATATCAAATCATTGAATGAAGGTTTAAGTTATGAACTAATCGTGGTGAATAGAATGTTTTGCATTCTTTCCTAGAAGTTAACAATAATGATTAAAGTCCCATTAACATTCACTGTGGACAAATTCAGACAGTGGGTAAGGTACTGGTATATGTATTTGTCTTTTCTTTAAATGTTTTGTTGAAATATTAAACCATCTGTTCTTGTGCTTACACATTTTCCTGGGATTCAGATGGGGTTATGGGATATGATATGGTGCTATGATTAGTATGGGGTGATTAGACTGTTTATAATAAAATCTTACTTTAGGGACCTTTAATGACCTTTAAAAGGAAATCACTCCAGGATTCAGATTGGCAAAATATCTCTCAGAGGCAAATTTTTTTTACAAATGTTGATATGGTTAATTTTAAGCACCAAACTCCTAAATTAAATGTAAACTTTTTAAGTCAAAATGATTTTTTTGTACTTATATGGACTATATAATTAATTTCCAGGGTTAATTCTAGGTAGGCTCATTTTTAATTGTTTTTCATTCTCATTAAGTGGAAATATTCCTAAGAAAAGCTATAATGCACAAACTGACCTCTGTACAGCATAATAGTTTTATTTGTAAACTCAATGAAAGTTACATGTACATGTTTAGATATACGTATGTATATAATTAAGTAGCAACAATGTATTTACTACTGCCAATAAGGGGGAAATGGTCACATTCCAGAACATTTCAAAGCTTTCTACATTTGAACTTGTGAGCAGAATTTATAGATTTATATCCCATCTAGCAACAGATTTCCTTCTGGAAGAAAAAAGAACATTAATGCAGTGATTCCTATCCACTTTCCCACCCATAACACTTGAGTAATATGACACATTCTCATTGACAGTGGTGTCTCCTCAATGGAAAGGAAAGGAGGGAAAGGTGGGAGAAAGGACCACATGTCAGTACCACTAAGGGGAGCTCCCAATTGATTTTAATACTTTTCTACTGAGGCATCCACCCTTCAGGTTCTCTCTTGAGAATCACTGATTAAAATGATTTTAAACCTGATAGCTCTCCAATTGCCTCTCTAATTGCAAATATAAAATGACTTTGCTTTAGTTTTTTTAAAGTTTATAAAACTTTAACACAAACAGTTTTACATCAAGAAGATATAATGTGCATATTTCCTAATTTATTTGCTGATCATCTTCACATACAAATTCTACTTGCATGAACAGTTATTATAAAACAGGGAAATGTACAGTAGTAGGTGAGTCATGGGTATAGAGATGTGACTGTCCTACCTTCGTTATTACAGCACCATCCAGTAGAAAACCAGGGGACCCCCTTGTCATTTCTGATATCAAGAAAGGCAGTGTGGCACACAGGTAAGGAAAATGGACTTTTTTATTCATTCCAAGCCATTTCTTAATTAAAGCAGAAATGATCCTTTTTGTTCCCAAGGCAGACCGTGCTAATGGATTACTGTATTCTCAATATTTTCCAGGCAGCCACTATTAATCAATCATGTTTAAGACCCCTATTGGTAGAGGCTGCATAGATCTCTCCCCTCGTGTCAATTTACTTCTGTACACAGTGCAGACAACAATCATCTGAAAATGTTTTTTAGGGTCTTTCTTGAGTTCAGCATAGGCTCTCCTTCACTGGTTGTTTTCCATCTTTTATTTTCCAGCTAAAAAACTGAAAGTAACCCCCCGTTATGAAAAGCCCCACATGGAGATAATAGCTTGTGGGAGAGTTTTGCTACATGCCAGAATGTCCTCCCCAGGCAAGCAAGATCCTTGAGCCTTAAGTAATGTTCGTGTCTCCTATTTAATCCATACATCATCAAAATCAGGGCGTCTCAAACTTTTCATTTCACAGATAAAAAAATTTTTTAAATGATTGAGGATACTGATACACGGCTGTTCACTTTATTTTTATTTTCCAACTAATGACTTTAAGAAAATCCCATCTATTATCACAATCATTTCATTAAAGAAATATTTTAACACTCAAAAAGTAGGAAGGACATTGTATGACTTTAGAAATATATGTCTAGGCTCAGCTGCCCTGGCAAAGAGATATATAAATACAGTGGATCAAGTAAGACAGAGGTGTGTCTCTTATGCAGTGGTTGGGAGGCAGGCAGGCAGTCCAGGGCTGGGGGAGCCAGCCCACCAGCTTACCAGTCATTACCATTTTCTAGCTGTAGACTGGGAAGGCATTCCAACTGAGTCTGGGGCATGCCTTTTTAGGGGTGACTCAAAAGAAGGAAAGGGAGAATAGACACTGGAAAACAATTAGCAGTCTCTGTCACAGACGTATTGCATAAAGAACAGTTCTTACAAATGTGTGTATATACATATATGCACATACAAACACATATACATACTACATTCTCGTTTGTTCTTCTCATTTCATTATGGACCTTGAAAACTTTCAACAGACCTGCACTGGTGCTTAGTCACTTTTAGACTCCCGGTGGCCACTTTCCAAATAGCTGGCATCTGATTCATCTAGACCTTTTCTCCCTACACCAGCCACAGTAAGTTTCCAGGTGCAGATGGAAATGGCAGAGACTCCAAGTCTCAGGCCTCCACTAACTCCATCCCATATATTGACTTCCTTCACTTCCTCGGCTCTCTCCTAGTACCTGGACTGCCAAGGATCAAAAGAGGTGTGACAATGTGGAGGAGCATAAGGATATCGGGGTCTCTACAGACACCAGCCCAATACCTCCCTTCCTCAGAACCTTAGACTTCCTGAGTGAAACTTATAGGAAAGCCCTGGTTTAACTGAAGAAAGCATAAGAAAAAATGTTTTTAATACTCTGCAATTTAATGTCACAGCAGCCATTCCAAATAAGACTGGATAAAATGGGTTTGTCAATAAGGCTCAATTTAAAAACAGTTGAAGAAGCTCTTTTCCTCTAAAGACTACCATAATGCTACATCATGCTTAATGCCTCTTTAAATGGCCTGGTTAAGTGCTCCTCATTAGTCATGTGTTATTCTACATTTACTAACAGAACTGGAACCCTGGAACTTGGAGATAAATTACTTGCAATAGATAACATCAGCCTGGTTAAGTGCTCCTCATTAGTCATGTGTTATTCTGCATTTACTAACAGAACTGGAACCCTGGAACTTGGAGATAAATTACTTGCAATAGATAACATCCGGCTGGACAACTGTTCCATGGAAGATGCGGTTCAGATCCTCCAGCAATGTGAAGACCTGGTAAAGCTCAAAATCCGCAAAGATGAAGATAATTCAGGTATTGATAGCATTCTTAGTTAAGACTGGTATTTCTAACCACCCATCTGTCACAAAAGATATTAGATCTTGATGTTTTACATACAACAGCTGGCTAGTGACATTGTAGTGGTATTTTACATAGTTAAAAGGGTCTTTAATTGTGCATTAAGAGTCTAGCATAAATTATAAATAATGGTGCTTTTAAGTGATATAATTAAGGTACTTTCATTACAGAAACATTATTATAATAGTATTAAAATAATTTTTAGAAATGAAAATTAAATCATCACCCAATACCACCCTAGTGTAATGGAACTAGTCATTTTCTAGTCTTTGTTGATATGCATGTTATATAATTATAACCATAGTGAATGTCACAGTTTTTACTTAGCTTTATATTATAAACATTTTACCATTTTACAAACCCTTAATATTTACCATTTATATTTACAGCCTGTAATTTATTTGCTATTCTTCTCTTAGATTGTTTCCAATTGTTTTATTATTGTAGATGGTACTGTCTTAGATATCTTTATGCATCAATATCTTTACTTGACTTTTTTTACTCTTTTGAATTATTTTCTTAGAAAATATTCCTAGAAGTAGGTTTTCTGGGTCAGAATAAAAATTAAATTTTTGTGATTCCTGATGAGTCTTGCACCATGTTACTTTCTAACAGGGCTATATCCATTGTTAGGGCCTCTGGCAGTGTCTGAATACAGTGGAGCTTCTCAAACTGTAGTAGACCTCAGAATCACCCAAAGAGCTTGGTGAAATACAGGTCCTGGGTACTACCCCCAGGTAGTACCTGAGAGTCTACATTTCTAACAAATTTCCAAGTGATGCTGCTGCAGTGGTCCAAGGAGCACACTTCGAGTAGCCCTTTATTAGAAGCCTTTTTATCTGATTATGATAAGAACCCAGAACTAATTGAAAGAAAGCTCACTAATTGAAAGAGTTAGCTAACATGAGGAATTATAGAAAGTGATGTATATTTATAACGTAAACGCTTAATTTAAAATTTTGCCAATCTTATGGGAAAAGTCAAGGCCTTTCCTATGAATGTAATTCTGCTGATTATAGTTGCAAATCTTTTTGTTGGTTTGCCTAAACCATACCCATAATATATAATTTATGATTTCCAGTTTTGTTTTGTTTTTAATGCAGTGAGAATTTAAAGAATTTAAAGAATTTAAAGCAATCTGAATGCTTACTTCACTTACACTTTTATTTTCCCCAATGTTTTAGAGTTTTTCCTCTATGTAATTAAAAGTAGATTTTTGCCTACTGAACCCCTCATTAAATCTTTTTCAAAGCATTTGATTTTGTTTTCATAGAACAACTACACTCATATTTCACAGGTTATATGAGTTTAATTAAATTACATTGTTACAATAACAAGTACAACTGGCATAAACAGGCTGGGGAATAAACATAATTGACATAATTTTTAAGCTTACAACTGTACCACAGGAGCCCCAAATCTGAGAGGGCATTCTGCAGTGTTTGCCTGTTCAAACAGGTATTTCAATAGGTAGAGACATCAGTCTATTAGACTTACAGAAGTCACTGACAGCAGCTGGCCAGCCAGATATCCACCCCACCACGGGGCACATACAACAGTTATATAGTGAATAGATCAAAGTAGGAGTGTAAATCATTTGCAAGCTTACACACAGACTCTAGCCCAGCTCACATAACTCAGAGCATGCAGGAGATCTGGCTGAATAGATAAGTTAACCTACTCTCAGTGCCAGTGTTTTAGCACCAGCGTGCTAACTCATTTACTTAAGGTCCCTGCATCCTCCAGTCTTCCATTTGTCTTAAAGGGGACATGCCTTTCCTTGGGTAACTAACTTGGCCAGGGGTATTTTCTCAGGGGTGAGGAGGAACTCTGGTATGCATGGGGATGGAGTAATATGGCTATGTCCAGCATTTACCATACATTCTACCCCAATATACGGCTATTCCACCCTCACAGTCTTCCCACCACATTAATCTTCTGCATGTCCCCTAGGTGGAATAGCGAATTGCACATTGTCCATAGCGGACCTGACATGGCAGATAGCGGGAACTCTGAGCAGACCCAGCAATCTGATCTATTATGTACTTGGGCCAGGGATGCAGCCATTGAAGATAACTGTTCCCATGGTCATACTAGGGATGATAAGAAAGATGTTTAACAGGTAATAAAAGTGGGTAAGCGATGTTTATCAGGTAACACACAAGTGACAGTTTTATCTTGAGACAATATAGTTACAATAAGTGGAGGCTTCCCAGCTTAGCCCACCAAGCCCTATCAGGCCCAGGGGCTATTTTATCTATGACAGAGGAGGTGGGGGGTACCTGAAAACTCTATAGGGAAATAATAATAGTCCCTTTCTTTATAATCTGGTCCGTGGGGTTGTGACATCTCACGGTGTTTGACCATCATCCTATCACTGATGGAAAGATCTCTAAAACCCTTCCTACTCCTTCACCCCAGGGAGACACAGGGAGCTCCAGCATGGTTCAGTTTGAATTTCCCAGGGCCCATGGAGTGGACTTACTCCAGGTGCTATATCCTGAGGCGCTGGCAACAACAAGTTATTTTCGCTTCCCCACTGAGGTCTTAGTGAAGTCTCTAAAGTCTTAGTGAGCTTTCCCCTGTGATTGACATAACCCCCAAGCATAGCCCTCCTGGGAAATATTTATGTCTAATTCACAGGGCACTACTGGATTGTACGCCTCCCCTACTGGCACTCAGAAGTCCAATCCCAGGGCCGCCCCGTGGCTCACTTGGGAGAGTGCAGTGCTGCTAACACCAAGGCCGCGGGTTCGGATCCTATATAGGGATGGCCAGTTTGCTCACTGGCTGAGCGTGGTGCTGACAACACCAAGCTAAGGGTTAAGATCCCCTCACCGGTCATCTTTTAAAAAAAAAGAAAGAAAAAGAACAATCCCATTGTGCTCCCTTTTTCACTAGCCTGTATAGAGGCCTCACTATCTGAGCAAAAGGGGGAATAAACACCCTCCAGTATCCTAACAATCCCAGAAATTCCTGTAATTGTTTAACAGTAGTTGGCCTAGGGTATGCCTGAATCTCCTCAATTACCGTGGAGGGCATCAGTTTTGTCTTACTCAGCTAAATAACACCCAAGAATTTGACAGATAGTCCAGGTCCCTGGGCCTTGTTTTGGTTTATTGGCCCTTCGCCTGCTCTATAGGTGAGTGATAAAGGATGGTGTAGCCTCCTCCAAATCTGTAAGAGAATCAGAAGTTAATTATAATGTCATCAATATAATAGTATAGTCTCACTGACAGAGGTGCTGTCCTTTTTTCCAAGTCTTCTGTGACCATTCTATGGCAGATCGTAGGGCTATGCAGGTAGCCCATCTGCAAAACCATGAGTGTCCTCTGGTGTCCTTCCCATGTGAAGGTGAATTGGTCTTGACTATCTGGATGGATATAAATACTAAAGAAAGCATTAGCCAAGTCTAATACAACATGATATGTTCCCAGCTGAGTTCCTAATTTATCCATAATATCAGTAATATTAGGTACAGCCACATGTAGAGGGAGAATTACCTTATTTAGTTCCCTGTAGTCCACAGTCATTCTCCAAGTGCCTTCTGGTTTACAGCGGACCACACAGGGGAGTTATATGGACTATGAGCTGGGCGTATTATTTTCACCTTGGATAATTCCAGTATAGCTTCCACAATTTCCTTGTAATCCCCTGGCAACCAGTATTAGTTGCCACTATTTGCCAGGGTGATGGAAGTTGCACTGGAGGGTGCTGTACTTTACCTCTCTGTACCTCTTTCACAGCCCTACTTCATAGGCAGAACTCCCCCACACTAGCATGCAAACACAAACCTTGCAGTATATCAATCCTGAGTATGTATTCCCTGATCAGTGAGATGTACACAGCATCTTCCCTTGGCGGGGAGCCTACCAATCCTTAAAATTAACTTCACCTTGCTTACTTTAAGGGATCGCCCACCATACCCATCTATAGCAGCAATCAGCCCCTTGAATATTGATGGATTCCCATATTATCAATGTACATTCAGATCCTGTATCTACCAAGGCAATCATCTTTTGTGTGTTCCACAGAGACCAGTATACAGCGAGCTCAACATGGGGCCTCTAGTCAACAGAGACAGTTCACATTTCCTCTGTCCCTTGCCCCTACCCCTTAGGCTTGGGCCCAAAGGAACGTAAAATCTGTCTCGTCTTTCTCTGGAGGAGCACTCAGCTCTACTTGGGGTGAGCAAAAGAGGCCCCCCATAGAGGATGATTTCATGAATCCCTTCAGCTTTGGTTCTGTCTACACTCCCCCCAAAGGAGTTCATCCCCTTATCAGCCATGCCTCCAGTCACTTTTCTGGCAGGGGCTAGAACTGTTTCTCTTTGGGCAGCTATTGCCACAATTTAAGCAATGTCACATTCGGCTACTTATCTATTTTGGGGGGATCGACCCCTGCCTTAGTTAGGTCCACCCACAGGTGTTTTCTAGTAAGTTTCACTGGTTCATTCTGATCTCCCTTTTCCCCTCTTTTCCCTTTTGGTGCGACTTCCTTTACCTTGTGAATCCCTTTCTTTTGTCATGTAATTCCTGTTTCCCCTAGATCAGCTATGGCTTGTGCCGCCCTTTGAACTGATTGCCCTACTAAGGGTGACAGAACAGATACCAATGTTCCATAGCAGCTAGTGGGAGCTGTCTTTCATTCATCCAGCAAATTGCACCAAGTCTGGACCACAGAAGGGGTCTTGGTAAATAGCATGTCTCATATGCAATTCCCTAAGGAATTCTTGCACCTCCTCCACAGTAGACCACCAAGGGGGCACACCCGGGATGCTCCCTTCATCAAGCTATGCAGCACAGCAGCCTGCCATGATCCAAGTCAACAAGGAGGCATTTTCATCATATTGCCCTGATCTATAAATGTGCTGCCAGAGTGAGGGATGATTGGTGACCAATGCCATGTTTGCCATCTCCTCCCCTGACAATATTATGCCATTGGCCCCTGTATCC